AACACAAATCTGCATGCAGATTTGTGTTCAGATGATGGTTGACTCAACATTGATATAATGTAGAATCAACATTGATTCATAACTGATTCAATGTACTATCAACACAAATATGCATACAAGTTGACATACAGATGATGGTTGAATCAACATTGATATAATATCAGTTATGGTTGAAACCCTAACGTTGATTCAACATACAAGTCACCTACCACTTTCAATGTTGTTTCAATGTCAGCGTTCAACGTTGATTCAATGTTTCTGGCTGACATTGATTCAATGTTGTTTCAATCATTCTGTGCTATCTGGGAATTTATCACGATAAATCAAAATTCTTATCGATAAATGATCAACGATACAATAAACGCCCCCCTTGTAACAGAGCCGTTCGGAGGTTATTTCTGGTTTAGGATGTTTTCCCCTGGTGGAGTGCAGTTTGCTTCGCTCCTCCAGTCGGTCAGAAACGCTTTGAGATTACGATGTGGAAGCTGCACCTGTAGCAGCGCCGCACTCATCCTGACCAGGCTTTAGAGCAAATCTCCACCTGGAGATAAGCCGTTATTCAGCCGTACGCTGCCACCCAGCAGAGGCTGATTAACGGAGCATGTGTAAGCTGGCTCTGCCCTGCATGGCGGCCTGAACCATTCAGGTGAGACCAGCTGGCCACAACACGGCTGGGCTTCCACTGTAGGTTAGTTTGATTATGTTAGGACTTTTTGTCTAATTCATTTAGTTTTAGTTTTAGAGTCTGTTTGATAGTATTTAAATATGGTCTAGTTTTAACTTAGTTTTTATTATAATAGTAGTTTTAGTTTTTCAAACTTAAATTCAAAAAGGTCAAAATACTGTATTATGATTATGTGTATATCGATTGGGTAATGAAAATATAATTTTCTAAAAATAGATTTAATTATTCAACTGACTTTTGCTGCCACCGTCTTGCGGACTAGCATGTTGTCTCCTCACGGTCTGATACTTACAGATTATTTTTAAACTACATCAATAGAGTCTAACTTAAAATACTAGTTGTTTTAAAATGACATATTTTCCTAGACAAATGAATTCTGTCATAATTTGGTTAAAAGATTTTAAGTAGAAAATTGTGTTTTACTTACCGGAGTGTTAGCTAGTAGCCACCGTCAGTGCGCCCTCTGGTGGACTCATCGCGTACAACAACCCCTTTATTTTTACAATATTATATTTTATGAGATTAAATGTGTTATCATATTGTATAATGCTATATACCATGCATATCGTCTTATACATGACAGGAAGAATATGGTACGCCGTAATTTAGTAACTGCTTGTGTGGGAGAAAAAAAATCAATTTTACATCAGTTCATAAAGCTAATAAGCAGATTCATAAACACAAAATTTCACTATGTTTTAGTTAGATTTTATAAATACATGACATTGTTCCAGTTAGTTTCAGGTTTTCTGAGTTAATTACTGTTTTAATTTATTTCAGATAATGAAAATGTTTTCTCGGTTTCAGTTTTGGTTAGTTTGGTGAACTATAATAACCTCGTTGTGCTGCAGCCTTTGTTTTCTGGGACATTGGGAGTTTTTTGCGTCCTGATCTCCATTGTGCTCCGCCTCCTGCAGGGACGCGGACACGCACACTGGAGCGCACCTGCAGAGAGCAGAGGGAGCACGGAGAGCGCCGTTGTTGCTGGGTTTTTGCAGAAGTGATCTATTTTCGGATCACTGTGCATTATTTTTACTAGCCTGGTTATAACCCGACTCAGATGCCGAGAGGCTGTGGGTTGCTAAAGAAGCTGGAGAACCGAGCCAGCACAAACTAGCAGTTTGATGATTATTTTACTCAGCTGCTTCCAGTACTTGCATTCAGATGAAAACAGGCCATTAAAGTCGCTATAATGCATCATTCTTTATTGCATTCTGTAAAGCGATAAAAGTCACAGTTCTTTTTTTTTCTTGTTTTGTTGAACATTTTCATGAAGTTTGTCTCGTTTCTCCTGCAGGCGTCCCGGCCAGAGGCGTTCCCTCACCCCCACAGACTCCCAGTGGAAGGCAGCCGCATCGGAGCAAACCGACCCTGTTCACAGGTCAGCGCTTCCTCCCCGCATGATGCTGCAGCAGCAACGCAACCTCACATGATGCTGCTGTGTCAATGCAACCTCACATGATGCTGCTGCAGCAACACAGCCTCACATGATGCTGCTGTGTCAATGCAACCTCACATGATGCTGCTGCAGCAACACAGCCTCACATGATGCTGCTGTGTCAATGCAACCTCACATGATGCTGCTGCAGCAACGCAACCTCACATGATGCTGCTGTAGCAACACAACCCTGCATGATGCTCCTGCAGCAGCTCCACCCCTGCATGATGATGCTGTAGCATCTTTTCCTGCTGGCGCTGAAACCGTCAGCAGAAGCCTGAATCCTTGTAATACATTTCTGCTTAATTGCAAACTAAATATTTAAGTTTTAAACTAAATATTAAGTTAGCTCAAAGCTAAATATTTAAATGGGAGCTAAATATTTAGTTTTAATATATTATCCTGCTAACTAAATATTTAGCTTGCTAACTAAATTAATGTATATTTTGTCTGAAACTGCGACATTTATGACTGAATGAAAAACTTGGTGAAAATGTTAAATGTTTCTTACGACAGGCTGAATAATCCATCGCGTGGAGATGTGTACATGCTCACGTCTCGCTGCCTCTGATTCAACAGCATCAGATTTAAACGTCTTGTTCCCTCAGTCAGGTGGCCTGTTGTGGCATGTGTCTGTGGCTATATTTAGCCTTATCTCCATGCATCATAATCAAGTTAGCAGATCTGCTGAAGCAGATCACATCAAATTAAATAGTATAAATATCTACTGTATAGAAACGACTCTGAGCAAAGTATGCAGCAGTTTACTACAGCTGCAGACATTGGGAGGTTCTGTGTCGTGGGACAGACAGGAGGTTAATTTTGTCCGTCATTGTAGGAACTGAGCGCCGCATGGCTGCAACACATGTAATCGTGCTGCGAGAGCAATCACAGTGTCAGGCAGAGAAAAGCAGGCGGCGCAGCTCCTGCTTCCCCACAAAGACCCCGCAGACAGGCCCTGTCAAAGCCCGCCGCCGAGGCCGTCCTGAGCCGTAATTCCAGCCGCTACCTGCGGGGGGTCCTAGACACCTGAGCCGCCATGACAGGTGGAAACTGAGAGAGAATTAACTGATGAGAAACAACCAGAACCAGAACCAGGCTCCTTATAGAGAGAGGACATTCTGCAACTACAGTGTCTAAAAACAACTGTGTAAAGTTTTTCATTTATTGGTCAATGTTTTCAAGTTTTTGTGCTGTGTAAAAGTTTCCCACCATCCCTTTGTTTTTTTGTCACAATTTAAATGTTTAAGATGATCAAACTAGTTTTAATAGACAAAGAAAACCTGCCGTAGTGAAGGTCAGAGGTCATAATTCAACAGTAAAAAAGTGAGACTAGACAACAGAATGAGTCGTTTTAATGACAACACAGCATCAGTTCACCAGCAGGAGCTTGGTAATTAAATATTTAATTTAGTAAAAATTTAGTCTAACACAGTCAGAATTAACTCCCATTTTTCTTCCTATCAGAGGCTAAATAACTCAAATGACTGCTGTTAATTTCTGACTGGTTCCCAGTACAGCATGAGCTCCAGTAACCGACCAGTGATTCAGTTACAGCGCTAACAAATTCAGTCCATCTGAAGTTTGATTTGTTAAATATATTATTTTCTCATCATGTCTGGTTTTTCTGGAACCGGTATAAATGTTTGATTCCAGTGATTCTTAAAGTGAAACCAGTTTTCTGTGAATTGCAGAAGTTCAGCTCTGGTTTGGGGTCGCTGCCGCAGCTGGAGACCCCCGTGGTCCAGGTGGTCGTCAGCAACGCCAAAAACCAGCAGCAGCAGTCGGACAACATCCTGCCGCAGATCACCAACAAAGGAGGTCAAAACAACTACCAAGCGGTGAGCCTGGCATTCACAGCTTCACCTGCAGAGGGCAGCAGCAGATCCATTTCTAAACACTTTCAGCTGTCTCCTAGAAAAAACAGAAAGTTTTCTCTTTTTGCGGCAGGTCGAGAGGTCAAAGTCAACTCAGCAGTTCACGATGCGTTACGGCGCAGCGACAGACAAGGCGGCCATGTCGCGTAACGGGAAGGCGCTCGGAAACAAGATGGAGAAGGAGCGAGCGTACGAAGGACAGCGGCTGCCCATGTCGCCTGCAGGTGAGTTAGCTTCATGGGTCTCCAAACTGTGGCTCCAGGGCCATTTGCGGTCCCTGGACTGCAGTTCAAGAATAATACAGATTTCGACCCCAGCACAGATGGGAGCTTTTTATTTTTTATTAAAGTAGAACTATTTGAGACAAATGTTTTACAGGGCTGCACCAATTGGAGTTTTCTGGCCAATCGCTGAAAAATAACCGGACCTGTCGATTCCGATTTTGGCCAATACTGATTTTTTTTCATCTGAAATGTTGCCTATTGTTGACATGCTAACATGCAGACATGCCCTGGTGGGCGGGGCTAAGAGTCAATCCTCTGTCACATCAGAGTGATTGACTGTAAAAACCACAAACCAAAATCTCACCATGTAAGATGTTCTGGCCCTCAACTCCTTTTGAGTTGATGATTTTGACCCGTGAGACGTAAAGTTTATGATTTCAACGTAGCGGTGCCTCCTCCCGTTGTCCTTCCTCAGAGGCGCTCAGTAACTTCCGGGAGCGGCTGACGGAGTTCGAGCAGGAGGAGGTCAGCGACTACGCCGAGGTCTGGTTCCTGGGTCTGGGCTCGCAGAAGATCGAAGGATCCCAGGGAGCGGCGCAGAACAACGGATACGACGACGAACACGGGAGCTACGTCCGGGTAAAGCTACCGAAGCTTCGCTAGCGGGTCGTCCACAGGTCAATACGGCTGACGGGTTAGGATTCAGGACGGCGCCTTGGCAGGGGATGCTGCAGGTCGCTCTGAGCCTGGAGTCCTGACACTGAAACCTCGTTCTGTGCGGCTTTGCTCCTGGATGCAGAGCCTCGCTGTGACCGACGGCTGGAGCCGCCAGATGATCCGGACTGAACCGGCTGACCCACTTTGACTTACACTTTCAATGTCTTCTGACGCCTGAGAGCGAAGCCAGAGGCCAGTTTATCCTGGAGCTGCACCAGCTGAACATCATATTAATATCACATTACACTTACAGGCTGGAATAAATACATTGTTCTGGGTTTGCTTTGCAGGTTTTGATGAAATTCTGTATTTATGTTTTAGTGCATAATCACAGTGAAGCTGCAATTTACATTGATTATTTTCAAAAGCAATAATTCTGAAGATTAAATGATTACTCAAATTTAAGAAAGAAAAAGACAAATTCTACAGATTTTTAATTTAAGCCTTTTTATACAACAATAAAAATACATTAAAAATCATTTAATTTTCCTTTGGGATCAATAAAGTATTTTTGAATTTGAAATAAGCAAATAATAAATTTTTTAAATAAGAAAATAAACATTATTTCCTAAAATGCAGCAGCAGCGTTCCTGTGTTTGACCAGCATGAACCTGTGAAGCTCTGCAGCCGTCCTGCTGGACGAACCTCAGCAGGCCTGATCTGCTGATTATTTTTACTGATGATGGGATGGAAAAAGCAGCTCAGTTTATTTTAGTTTAGTTTCTTTACAGAACCAGGAGAAGCTGCAGCTGGAGGAGTTCTGGTTTTCTTCTTAGATGTAAAATGTTTTTATTTTTGTGCAGTTTTGGTTTCATTAATGCTCTGAGCGTGTTGTTCTCTCTGCAAATGGCTTTTTTAAAGTTCTCCAGTTATTGATTGATTGATTACTAAATTAGTCGATGGTTATTTGAGTCATTGACTGACCATGTTTGATCTGATTAATCCTGTTAAATGGACTTCACGTTGTCGCCTCTGCTGCCTTCAGGTGCTCCATGACCACATCGCGTACCGGTTTGAAGTTCTTGAAGTGATCGGGAAAGGTTCGTTTGGCCAGGTCCTGAAATGTCTGGACCACAAGAGCAACGAACTCGTCGCCATCAAGATGATTCGCAACAAGAAAAGGTTCACACTTCCTGCTTCTGTTCACCTCATTTCAGTTTTATCTACCAGACCTTTAAAATCCTCTCCTCTGCGCTGCAGAATAAACGACTTGAGGCCAACCGGCAGCCATCTTTTGGCATTTATTCAACATCTGATAGCGTTGTAATATCCTCCCACATGCTTGCACCGTGATCGGTTTACATTTTACGAGTTTGCCAATTTGTTGAGACCAGATTTAGCCTGCTGGAAGTCAGCGCTGCGTGGTGTTAGCTTACCTTTCCTTCCCCACTGAGAGGCACAGTTGGATATAAATGCCTGATAGTTAAAGCCACGAGTCTTTGGGGTTTTCCACCACTTCAGAGATGCAGAAATAAAAATGGACGCAAAGTGCCGCAGATTTCTTTCATCAACTTTGTCCTAAAACATCTGCGTTCAGGCACCGCAGCGTTAACTGAATAAATCACATTTTCCTTTAGTTTTGGGGTTTTAACGGATTTCTGCGTTTTCCTTTCCTGCAGATTTCATCACCAAGCTCTAGTGGAGCTGAAGATTCTGGAGGTGATAAAGAAGAAGGACAAAGACAACCTGCACAACGTGATCCACATGAAGGAGCACTTTTACTTCCGGAACCACCTCTGCATCTCCTTTGAGCTCCTCGGGTCAGTACCAGCAGCAGATGATCAGCTCTGATGAATAATTGATCCTCTAATTGGAGGCGTGTCACCTTTAACACATTCAAGCCCCAACCTTGAACCCGACTCTCTGGACTCCACTGGCAGCTGGACGGACGGAGGAGCTGAGAGATTTCCTTTGTGTGTAAACCACTGATCTGCATTTGAAGGGAGGAAGTTTTATGTGTGGCTCAGTCTGAGTGACCTTTAGGGGACGCCTTGGACTAGCACCTTGTCTGACATTACTGTCACTGTATCCTTTAGTTAAAGCCTTGATCAGGGCCTACCTCTTTCCCATCATGCTTCATGGTGCGAAGGCTCCAGTTGCATTTACTCTGAAGAGGTTTATGCTTTTCACAAGAAGCAGGAAATGGCAGCAGATCCAGTCTGTTCCTGAGAGCACAATCAGCTCATTTCCAGGCAGGCTCTTAATGCGAGTCCAACAGAAATGCTCAGCTTATTGTTCAGATTACTTTAAAAAGTTTCTATCTGAAGAAATCCAGCAGAGCTTCGAGTCAGGAGCCGTTATACATAAGTGAGCAGTTTAAATAACAGCAAGTAATGCAAGTTGGAGAGTAGTAGGAGAAGAAAGTGAGGAAAAGTGGTGAGTCTGTCCTGCAGCAGCATAACTACAGACATAACTCAGGGTAACCTCAACCCCAATGTTAACTTTTTATGTTCTTCTTTCATAAATGACATAAAAAATTTAAAGAAGCGATTTAATAAATCCTGTGAATGTTCTTCAGCAGTGTGATGAATCCTGCCTTGTCCCCTCTGACAGGGTGAACCTTTATGAGCTGATCAAGAAAAACAACTTCCAGGGCTTCAGCCTGGCGCTGATCCGGCGGTTCGCTCACGCTCTGCTGCGCTGCCTGCAGATGCTGCACCGGGAGAAGATCATCCACTGCGACCTCAAACCGGTACGGAGCGGGTCAGCATGAGAGCAGGGAGCTCCCTCCTGTGGACAGCAGCGGTACTGCAGCCATCTAACGTGTGAAAATGTTTCAACAGGAGAACATCCTCCTGTCTCAGCGAGGGCCGGGGAACATCAAGGTGGTCGACTTCGGATCGAGCTGCTACGAACAGCAAAGAGGTAAAATAAATAAAACACGGCGAAGATCAAACTGTTATTTAAACTATTTATATGGTCACTAATTTATTTAATAATTGATCAGAATCACTTTATTTCCATTGCCAGTAAACAAATTCACAGGCTGGGAAATTGTTTGATATAATAACAAAATAAAAATATACAATATGTATACATGCAGCTGATGTTATACCAGAGTCATTCATAATTAAATATATGTATTATATTCATTCATTCATATTAAATATAGAATTAATTATAATTAACAACCAACATCCTACGAGGATGTATGGAGTTGTTTTCTGGTTGAAGCAACCAATCACACGCCAGGGTCTCCATAGCAGCAGCCAATCGGATGTCAAGGTCTTAATCCTTTGACACTTAAAAGTTTATAAATTAATTCACACTTCAGCACAGGAGTATAAAATAATTTAATAAATAATTAATGCTAATTTTTAAAATGAGAAAATGGAGGCACAATTCTGTTTTTAATAAATTATTTCTGTATTTTCGGTTTTAATAAATGAAACATTTAAATAATCGTGTTATTTATTGTAATCTGGCTGCAATGGGTCGTTTTCTCTCTTCTTTCCTCTCTGCCGTCGTCAGTGTACACCTACATCCAGAGTCGCTTCTACCGCTCCCCAGAGGTCATCCTGGGTCACCCCTACAGCATGGCCATCGACATGTGGAGCCTGGGCTGCATCCTGGCTGAGCTCTACACCGGCTACCCGCTGTTCCCCGGGGAGAGCGAGGTGGAGCAGATCGCCTGCATCATGGAGGTGGGACCCAGGAACTCAAACTCTGACACGCTCCAGCAAACAAAACCGTCAAAAACACGTTTTCCAAACCAGCTTTCACTGATGTGGAAAAGATTTTCTTCTAAATTTAAAAGACAGAAAAACCTGAAAAGGAGGAAAATACTTCAGAACATGTTATTTCTTGTTGACTTAAAGAGGTCTGGGTTTTGAACTCGCAGGTTCTCGGGACGCCTCCAAATGATTTTGTCCAGTCGGCATCAAGGAGGAAGTTATTCTTCGGTAAGAATTTCATTTCCTGTTCAGTCCAGCCTGAAGTATTTTTTAATTTGATGCATGTAGGAGATCCTGTTGACAGTTGATAACAAGTGAAAACAGTTAAGAGTACAATATACAGATAACTACCTCTAGTTTCTTCAGACCAGCTTCAGGGGTTTTCTCTCCATTCTTAATGTCATCAGAACAAAACCAACATCTCTCGCCAGAGAACTTTCTGTTGCAGTGAATCTTCAGGATTTTTCCAAGTCTTTCTTTTGCAGTTGTTGTTCCTTTATTTGTCCGTTCACCGTGACTGAATCCTGTTTTATGAGTCTGTTTTTTATGCACGGCTGCATTATGACTGCAGACTCCAAAGGAAACCCGAGGAACATCACTAACAGCAAAGGGAAGAAAAGGAAACCCGACTCCGTTGAGATGTCAGCGGCGCTGAAAACCAACGATCCGTTGTTCCTGGACTTCATCCAGCGCTGCCTCGCGTGAGTTTAAGCGTTTCTGGACTCCGCAGAGCTTCTCTGTGCTCTCTGGATGCGAAACTTTGCTTTGCTTTTCAGTTGGGATCCAGCGAAGAGGATGACTCCTGATGAAGGGCTGCAGCACCAGTGGATCCTGGAAGGAAACTTCAACAAAGTGAGATCCAGAACCAAGCCGACAGCGAAGAGGGGCGCGGAGAGCTGCAGCGGCGCAAACAGCAGGCCTGGTGAGAGGAACGCACGCTGGGGAGTAAACGCAAGAAATGCATCAGGTCACGAGTTTAAACAGTAAAGACTGAAACTGACGAATCATTTTCATTAACTGACATAAATAAAAACCAGCGGGCAAAACTGTAACTGGAACGAATAATGAGTTTGTAAAAACTAACTAGAACATACTGAAATTATAGATATGCTGGTTTTGTGTTTATGGATCTATTTATTAGCCTTTCAAACTGATAGGAAATAAGTTTTTTTTCCCCAACACAAGCAGTTTACATCACAAATGCCACCATAATCCTCCTGACGGCAAACAGCTCGCAAAATGGTGGCAGCAAAAGATGTTAGAAGTGTAGTGTAGTGTAACAGTCTATCTAATAAAAACTGGGAGCCGCACTTTAAAACTTATTAAAACTGAATTAGACAAACTAAAAGTTACAATGAAATAAAACTAAACCATAATAAAAAACCTGGAGCTGTAATAACCGTGGCGTTTGCACCGTTTTTGGTTTTTTTGCACAGCGGAGAAGGTCGGTGCAGAACATGGCAGCAACGACAAGCTGAAGAGGGACGGCTCCGAGGCTGGATCAAAGATGGCGTCCGGCGAACGCCTGCGGCCCCTCGGCGCCTCGGCGGAGGAGGAAGTGTGTGAAAGCGAAGGCGGTGAGCGGCCGGTCCACATCATCATCAAACCACAAGAAGAAATGAGCACAGAGCGGAAAGACGGCTAGCAGGCCGGAGGACCGGGACGCGTTCAGGGCCGCTGGGAAATACGATGTTCTGGTCTGGACTTACAGGAAGAAACCCTGAATTCAGTGAAGTGGGTTTTTTCTACATGATGGGAAAAACATCAACAGTGACGGACATCTTCTGGTTTTGGGAGCTGGTGAAATTTAAATCATCGGCCGTGTTTTTATAGAAGTCCTGATCCAGTTTTATTTCATCACATCTGAAACATGAAACTTTATTTGACGCAGGATTAGATTTACAGCAGCATCTGGACCTGCCTGATATCGTTTCTGGAATAAAATCTTTGCTGTGCATTGAAAAAAAAACAAGTTTGACTTTTAGCTTCAGAGGAATTAAAGCTGAAAACGTAGAAAATCTCCTGCTGCTTCTTGTTCATTTCTCCTCCTGTTCGTGTGAAAATGCTGAAATATTGAGTCCAATAACGGCTGAGCCAAATGATTTTTACCACAACAGCAAAGAAATATTTATCAGATATGTTTTAATTAAGTTGATAACTCGTGTTATTATTTATAGTTTGTGTTTCATTGAACTAAACCCTGAAATGTGGATTTTTAAGAGAATCTATTGTATATATTTCTGCTGTCTTTTCTTATAAATATGTAAAACAGCAGATTTTAAAATTAGACAAGGTTCTACTTGTTGTGTTGTTACTGTATGATCACTTTGTGTGTCTGTTATTCCTAATATTTTTATATTAGAAGCAAAAAGACAATCCTGTTGTTGATAGTTTGTGCCTTGCAGTATTAGAGATCCAGCACTTTATTGTTGTTTTGTTGACATTTCCTGTCCAGATATGATTTGAGCCGTCCTGCCAGGATCCCTTTTATTTAACAAAAAGATTCTCCGACTTTATTGGTTGCAAGAAATTCATTTAAACTGATTTTATTTGTTGTTTTTTACAGATCCAGCTTATAGAAAAGCACATATCATCAAAGTATATGGGCTAAATAATTTAATCCTTAGATGATGTATTGTAGCTGTAAATAAAAGAACTCAAACGAAGTCATTTATATGTATTTTATGCTGAAATAAATGTTGTTTAAAGGACATTTTGTTTAAATAATTTCATATTTTTCTCACTCACCTCGTGTGTTTTGCGCCCAGGATTCAACCTGATACCAATTTAAGGTACGTTTATTTTTCTAGTCTAAAGTTTCCAGGCACTGACTGTAATATTGATGACAAATAAGTACATTTATCCAAATAAAAACATGAAAGTGGTGTCAAAAATAATAGAGTGGTGCAAGTGTTGCGCTGCATTTTGAAATTCTGTTCTTGTAAAATATGCATTTCATATCAAAGCCTTACATAATGTGTAGAATTAAAGCATAATTTACTTTTAACTACAAAGAAGTTCATAAAATTCTGATTTCTTTTAGGGGGGTTTTCTGTGTTGAATCCAAACCCTTCATGGAGTTGAAAACTTGAAACTGAACAATGTCATTCATTTTGCAGTTATTTGCATAGTTGAGAAACAAGCATCCGTGTTTTAACGGGGCTGTAAAGTCACAGGTCATCTGGATTGACGGACAAAATAAATATTTTATTTGGGGTCTGCATCATTTCCACTTCGTTATACGTCATGTAAAGATCACACGCAACATCTCCTGTCACATCGACCAGATAAAAACATGAGAAGAGTTAAGTGAATGAATAAAAAAAAGTTCCAAATTAATGCTAAACATTAGTAATACTCTAAGAAATATGCGACAATTGGATTTGGCTCCTCGTCTCACTAAATTAAAAACATAACCAGCTGCTTGTGTCTTTGTGTCTTCCTAACACATCGTCCCTGTTTTTATGCGACTCTCACTACTCGCGATGAACGTTCATTCTTTTCACTGATGTATATTTTATAAAGTTTATACCAATATTACCACCAACTCTCCCGTCGGTGGACCAGAATGGAGCGAACCCAGCATTTGATACGCCACAACATTTCATTTTGGCCTACGCGGTTGCCGTACTCGGAAAGATGGCGACCGTAGTGTTGGTTAGCCGTCCTGCGGGTGTCCTTTCAAAGATTTCAAGTGAGTAATGTCACAACAGCATTTAGAGGATTGCACACGCCGTGCAGCTCGTAATATTTGATGTTTATTCACGGACCCCGCCGCTTTAGCATGAACGGGCCGGTAGAAAGGACATCCGGCCGCAGTGACCTTGCTAACATCCGCTAGCTGAGCTGGAGCTAATCTGGATCTTTATGTTTTGGGCTGAAAATGGAGATTTTTTTTTACTCAAGGCCTTACGTAATAAAATCTAAAACCTTATAATATAATATAATGTAAAGATCCTGCTGGAGTGAAAGCCTGTTTGTCGGAGATTATTTTTCTGCCTTCGGTAGAAACAGATCCTTGTTATTGTCCAAACAAAATTTATTTAGTTTTAATCGGAGCTAATCTACAGCTCTTATTCTTCAGGTTTATATTACGGATAAGAAGTTTGACCAGCAATATTTTTATGAATATATTTGTTCGGAACATTTTTTGATTGAGACATTTCAAGTCCAACTTCAGGCTTCACTCTATTCTCCATTTAGACGTTTATCATTTAATATTTAAAATATTTCTCGGTCAAAATATAATCTGGAAGAGCAATTATGTATTTTAAACGGTTCTAAAGCTCTGGTGCTGAGGTTAGAAATGAGGGAAGCTTTCATTCAAAACAAAATAATTAAGATAAAAACAAACATGATTTTATCACCAGTTATATCATTTAACTAAAATATTAAAAGCACTGTGTGAGGTTGCATAGTAATAACAATGTTTCTGATTTGATTTACTTTTAATAATTTATAATACCGTGCCTAAACTTGTCATTTTTTAGTGCTTTGTAAGTAAACTGGATTCTGAGATCATCAAATATTTAACAAGTCCTTCATTTACTCTAAAGATCGTTTTGCTGCTGTAGAATTTAATATTTTTATCTTATTAAAACAGAGACCAAAAATATATTCTGCCAGGAAACAAAGATTTTCTCCAGATCTTAGATAGATTCTGTAATTGGGATTAAAAGCCACTTATGATGGAAACCAGAACATTTGTGGACTAATTAAACATCATTGATTATTGGTTAGTTTAAAAAAAATTTTCTCATCATCTTAAATGAAAGACAGCAAATGGAAATTAACTCTAAGAACTGATGTTTAGCATATTTTTGTATTTGTTTTTTTAATGCTTTTGTACTTGGTCCTTGTCAAATATAATAAAATAATTTAAACAGTTTTGGACAGAAATGGATTAATAGGAATGAAAAACAACCAATCAATAATTCTCTGTTTACTTTATTAGTAGAAGTTGTGCAAACTGCTTCCTATAAAAACAAATGTATAAATGTATAAATTTCATGATTATGCAGCCTTCCAATACTTTGACTGCAGCTATTAAGAAAACAAGAAAAACGTTATTTTAGTGTGAGTGCTTGTCATTTATCCCACCTTCACCTTCATGTTGGTGAAGGTTTGTTGGAATCCCTTCATTTCCTGTTGGATTTAAATCAGAAAAAATAAAAAACCTGTGATGGATTTGTTTCTCTTGTGTTTTTAGTCCTTAGAAAATCTGAAGCTTCAAACAAAACGCTTCAGCGTCAGCCAGTAGAAATGGATTTGGGTCATCTACAGAAATAAAAACTTGGCTCTGATGTATTTAATAGATTTTTGCATTATATCATATAGTGTTGATACAGAACCGCTGGCCTGATTGGTTTTCTGCTCCCGTTGACAGGCGGCTGCAGCCAGGCTGCGTCTGCAGCTGCGTGCGTCGCCGCAGCACAGCAGAGGAAGCTGCACCGTGCCGTCATCCCCAAAGGGAAGGGAGGACGCTCGTCTTCCAGCGGGATCGCCGCCACCGTGTTTGGAGCCACGGGTTTCCTGGGCCGATATGTCGTCAACAGGCTAGGTGAGTTCGGACCTTTTCATCAAGCTTTTGTCATTTTTCAACATCACAGCTCAGGATTTCATGATGCTGAATAAAGACACGTTGCAGCAAGACGCACGCAGCATCCCTGCTGCAGGGTGAAAAGCTGCCCACTGACGTAGATGTTTAACATTGGTTTTAGCTGTTAAGTTGTCAAAATAATGAGCTAAATATTTAATATACAGTTGATATACAAAGGAAAAAGGACAGTAGTGCTTTGCTACCAATGGTCAACAATACAACGACTAGATAACAAGGCCAGGAAAAAGTTTTTATTGAAAAACATAGCAAGGGAGAGGAAATTAGGTTAGCTATGCTAGCTTGACTATGAGAACCTTAACATTTTGATGTTCTGCAGAATTTGACATTTCGGTTCAATTAAAAAAGGCAACCCACACACCAACTCATCAATAGGGCAGGCGTTTAAATTAGCTAATCTACCACCGCTGTGTTAGCTTAGCTGATAGTAGCAGTAGCTAATCTATCACAATGATCACTTATTAATAATCACAAAATAAACATCAAGCCTGAAAACACGAAACTGTAACCGACTGAATGTTCTGTTTTATGTGGGAAATGTTTGAGTGTTTTTTGGTGTTGAATCCTGACATATTAGTGGCGTCTTTCAGTTGCTATGGTAACAAATCTGTGTGAAGCGTAGCCGACGCTGAGAGCGAGATATAAGGAGGAAACTGGTGGTTCTAAGTTATTCTTTAATGTTTTCTCAGCATTATTTTTCCCTTTGCTGTGTTGCACTGCACTGATAATAGCTACATCTCCAGGTTTCATTTGTTAACAGGATTGTTCTACAGCGGCATTAAATGAATCGTCTTTTACCCTCCAGCAGTAAATCTCCACATTTAAACAATGACCTGCAACGTGTCTTTAGTGAAGTGATTTTAACGTCCCTGAATGCTGCAGGTCGGGTTGGCTCCCAGATCGTGATCCCTCACCGCTGCGACCAGTACGACCTCATGTACTTCAGGCCCATGGGTGACCTGGGCCAAATCATCTTCATGGTAAGAAACTTTTAAAGAGACTTACAGGTTTCCAGGCCAGATCTATGGGACGTGTGGCTGAAACTCTGCTGTTTCTGTGTGACAGGAGTGGGATGCGAAGAACAAAGAGTCCATCCAGCGGGCCATTGAGCACTCCAACGTGGTCATCAATCTGGTGGGCAGGGAGTGGGAAACGAGGT